TGCTCCATGGTTGGATGATGAGCAGAGTCCACGGTTGGATGTTCCTCCAAAGCAGCTTGAAAAAGGAGTGAATTCTTCAAGGCTGAGCTTAAATCAAACCCCAGGACCATGGGTGGGGTGGGGTGGGGTGGGGTGGGTGGTCCCAGGTGGGTCTACTCAGGGTTGTTAATTGGCCTCTGACACCACCACCTCATCCTTTGACAAGCTGAAGCTGATGAAGAAACATCTCCCAGGCTGATGTAGGATCACATCATCATCATCATCATCTTCATCATCATCATCATGTTCCCTCTCCTTAATCCTCCCCGTAGATAAAACCTTGAGTAGGAAACCAACCAACCAACCAACCAGGTGTCAACATCTCCATCTCTTTACCTTCCAGGTGTGAGAAGAAAACCTTCTCACCTCCACTTGATATTTCTCCTGAGTTGGAAAAGAAATTCACCGATTTCATGGAGAAAACCAAGTTCATCAACAAGACCATGAAGATATTTCAAGGTATCATGGTGCTTCTTGGGTGGGAAAGGGATGGAGAAGTCCATCATGAGGTCAACTTCTCTTCCTACTTCTTGTTTCTTCTTCTAGGCAAGTTGGAGTTCAAATTCCCTTTGATGGGTGAGTAAATTGAAGACGTGTCCCAACTCTTTGAGTCAAGTGAACCTCAACCTGCTCTTCTACCTCCTTTCCTTTCTTCTCCCATCTTGGTCCCACCACCTGAAGTGGTCCTAACTAGATCAGATAGATGGGAAAGGAGAGAAAACACCTTCTTCCCCCCTCCAAAAATCTTCTACCATGAGGTTGTGACTCTTTGGTCCACCTTCAACAGACATGACCTTGGACCCAGAGACGGCCAACGTGGAGCTTTACCTCTTAGAAGACCACAAAGGTGTGTGGTGGAGAAGTTCTAAACAAGATCTACCTTCCAACCCCAAGAGGTTCAAGTTCCATCCTTGCGTGTTGGGTTCCAGAGGTTTCACATCAGGTTGGCACTGCTGGGAGGTGGAGATCCATGGAGAAGGCATGTGGGCTGTTGGGGTGGCCAAGGAGTCAATACCAAGGGAGACACCGTTTGCCTTGAAGCCCGACGTTGGGATATGGGCGTTGTGTCATAGTAAAGATGGCTACAAGGCTTTGACTTCTCCTGATGTCACCAACTTGACCTTCCATGATGTCCCTCAAAGGTTAAGAGTCTGCTTGGACTATCAAGAAGGAAGGGTGGTGTTTATGGATGCAACCAACAAAGGGTTGATCTTTACTTTTCCAAGAGCTTCTTTCCAAGGTGAGATGATCTACCCATGGTTTCTAGTGATGGAAGATGTTCACCTTAAACTTGTTCCACCAAAGCCAAGGAGAAAAAGTCATCAAACCATCAACCCAACCTAATTTGTCCTCAGTTTCTAACTGGGTTTGGTTGGTGTCACGTTATGGTTTCGAGGTGAGATGTGGCACCAGAAGAAGGTTGATGAGATCCTCATGGTTTTAATTGGCATTAAGAGGTCAAAGACTTTCCAACTTCTCATCTAATCAACATGTGGAGAAGAACCTGGAAGGAGGGACATGTTGAGATTAAGAGATCCATGGGATGACTTGATGATGTCATCTTCAGTAGATAAAGGATGTTTTGACCAGAAAGTTGGGTCTTGGTCTTCAAGGATTGTGGTTTTTGAGATCTTTCTCCATCTCTGAGATCATTGACCAAGAACCAAGGTCCTGGTTGGGA